ACTAACTAACTAACACTAAATACTACTACGACGAACCAACTACGTAAAGTAATACTACACACCACAACGTAACGAACTAACGTAATACTCTCTCTCTCTCTCTCTCTCTCTCTCTCTCTCTCTCTCTCTCTCTATGATTGCTCCCACTTTACCTTCTCTTGATCCCCGAGTTCCTAGGAGAAGAAATCTGCAAGCCATTGCTCTCAGACTGACACCCCACTGAACCCACAACTAGCTGAGTCTTAACACTATTATCACTTGCACCAACAATCGGAGTCTTAACAATCCTAGGAGAAACTGATGATGATGAAGTAGAACAAGAAGTAGAAGAGGAAGAAGAAGAATTGATGAGGCCACACACTGGTGATGCTTTTGACTTTGGTGTTGATATTTGAAGCATTCTAGAGAGAAGCTCACATGGCCTCATCTCCTCACCAACCATTAAACCAGCTTCATTTAACATAGGTTCTCTTTCCCTCTCCCCTCCTATTGATGGTTTCGTCATGGTGGCGGAAGAATTTGAAGGAAAATTGATCTCCGGATGCCGGAAAACCGAGAAGGGGTCACCAAAGTCCTCTGAGATCGCTGGAAAACTAGTCGAATTAGTCGGGAAATGCCATTCAAAGGTGGGCTCTGGGCCTCCGCCGCTCGCTCGAACGATGTCGGAGAGGTCGCCTTGATCGTTGTCCATCCTCTGCCAAAAACTACACATCTCTAGTCTGGTTATGAAGCGAGAACATGTTCAATTCTCCATTTTTTCTTCTCTCTCTCTACCCCAATTCTTATCTCTCTCTCTCTCTAAATGTCTATATCTCACTGCTGGTTGAAGTTGCCCCGGCAGAAGGGGGAAAATAAGGAATTTATATAAGAGAATGGGTGAGTAGTGTGAAGAGGGGAGAATGAGGATTGCACCTTTCTACATCAACTCCATGAAGTTTCATATAAGCCAATTTACACACAGTCTCTTCCTCTCCTCCTCTCTCTCTCTCTCTCTCTCTCTCTCTCTCTCTCTATCTCTCGACTTTGAACTTTCAAAGCACCTCAAAAGAGTCTGTCTCTTTCTCTCTCTATTTTCTCCCTCTATGGTCTTTCTCTCTTTATCTCTATTTTCTCTCGCTATGGTCTTTATCTCTGTTTTCTCTCTCTAGCTCATCCTCTCTATCTCTATTTCTCTCTATGGTCTTTCTCTCTCTATCTTTATTTTCTCTCTATGGTCTTTCTCTCTCTATCTCCATTTTCTCTCTCTACGGTCTTTCTCTCTCTAAGCGCGCTGACTTTTTCATTGGGCAGCAAAACCTACCCACCCATGCATTTTCCTAAGAAACAAAAGAAATGTTAGTGATCCATAGGATGATAAATGATGATGATATATGCAATGTCAATAGGTCAATTTTCCCAACTGCTATACATTTCTTTACTGATTTTTTGCAGCGACCTCCTCATGAATTCAAGGGCCCTCAGCCCATTGCTTGTCTTTTGCTTCCCTTTAAGAGACCCAAGAATTTTGAGTCCCTTTCCTAACTCATTGCATTTCATATTGTGTGTGTTTAGAGAGAGATTTTGTGTTTTAGAGAGAGATAGATGTGTATGTTTTTAGAGAGAGAAACTCGGCTACCGAGTTTGTAGGATTTGGGACAGGGTGAAAAGTTCTTGAGTGAAGGTTTGTCCTGGTGCATGTGGTCTGAATGAAGCTTTTAACTAGCCTTAATTTAATGTGGGGAAGCTCTTAACTTGGCTTAATTTATTATGGGCTTTGAGAATTAAATAATGTGGGGTAGCTATGAAGAGAGAGAAAGAGGTAGAGAGAGACAGAGAGAGGCTTCTATGTTTCGTGTTGTGAGGAGCTTGAAGTTTTCAATGGGCCAATGATCATGGAGGGAATCACCGACTTCTTTCATGGTGATGGGACCTGTTGAGAATCTTCTGTAGCACCAACCTCTCTCTATCTCTAAGCTTTCTCTCTCTCTCTCTAACCTTAATGGAGCTTGGAAATCTTCAAGTGCTTGCTCATGGAGAAGAAAACAAAAATTTTCACTTATGCTTCTTCAAATTTATCTTTTAAATGGACATTCCGTCCATTGAGAGACCCTTCCACTTTTCTTCCATTGATGACTGCTGATGCAATCTCTCTCTCTCTCTCTAAAACTTTAGTTCTTCCCTCTCTCTCTTTCTCTCTCCCTCTCTCTCTCTCTAAACCTTTAGTCCTTCCCTCTCTTTCTCTCTCCCTCATCTCACAAATGCAAATCTTTCTCTCTCCCTCTCATCTCACAAAAGCAAAAAACACACACTACAAAAGGAACAGCAAAAAGTGAGGATCCCAATACATTATTGTGATTGCATGGTTGCATTCAATAACCCCCACCAATGTCCCCATTAGTCTTTTGTTTATCATTTTAGACCTTACAAATTTATTTCTCAACTTGGGCACACAGAAAAAGAATCAAAACCTCAGCATTCAACAAAACAAATAAATTTCAAGCTTGCACTCATCCAAATTTAATGCACTCTTGAGGTTTTTAGGGTTTCCAATTTAATGCACTCTTGAGATTTTTAGGGTTTCCTTTTGAAATTTCTACGGTTTGTGCCAGTGGTCCAAGCCCCATTGATCCACCCTTATTGTAACTTATTCATATATACATAAATAAAAATTGAATCATTGATTGCGCTTACTGACACTAGCTGTTCCATGTTCTGGCCATGAAAAGAACAATTTGCAGTGGGATTCTCTTCAAAATTTTGTCTTCCATTGTCCTTGGTTCCACAAGAATCAGAAGCATCCTACCCATGTGATGCAGGCATGTCACCTTTCTTTAATTGTCATAATACATTATCATACTATCATTATTTGTTGGTATTTGCCATCATTTTATTTTCTAACATTTTTGTTACTATTACCAATACCATCTTAATGATAGATTTTGTCATGCTAATTATAATTAGTACTTGCATTGTGGTTATTATTAATTGATTTGTGTAAATAGATTAATACCATTATTTGTGTAAGTCAATACCATTCTCATCATTTCCCAACTCAAACATGGATGGGTGGGAATATTAAATGACATTTCCACCAATTTACATTCTTGATATTATTCTTTTTCTTCTTGTTGTTATTCTTATTATTTTTTTGAGGGGAATTCAATACCATTCTCATCATTTGCGGCTAAAACATGGGTGGGAATATGAAATAGACCTCGTCCAATAGAATTTCCACCAATTTACACAGGTGCACCTAGGCAAAAACACTAATGCAAATAGCTCTCCTTTTTATTATTGTTATTTACTATATTAATTGGGATTGTTGTTGTTGGTATATTTCTATTATTGTTTTTGTTATTATTATTATTATTTTGTTATTTATATAGCTTTTGTTGTTTTGAATTGGTGGGCAAGCATGACTATACTTTATAAATAAAAAAAGAGGGGGAGCCCTCCGCACGTTGGCGTGCCACCTTCATTTATGCTGACCATGGTAGCCAAGTTTGTTTAATAAGCCAAAAAATATCTTTTTTATCCTCTTTTATTTTTTTTGTGCTCTCATTCTAGTGATCAAGGTTCTTAAGTCAAAAAAAAACGGGTTTTTTTTTTTGTTTAATTGTTATTTAATCATGAATTTGTCGACACCCGGTGCATGCGAAAGCGACCGTTATCCACACGCGTGACGAATGCCCTGAGCTCTGGCACACCTAGTTTCATCATCCGCCGGCCGCACTCTGGGTCGGCCGGATCCTAGCCGTCCACATTGATCGCACCAACGGCCAAGATCAAAGAGAATGGTTCTCGAGAGAGAGTCAACGATTACATGTTAAGGCCCAAGGATATTTGAGAGAAAGAGAGAGAAAGCCTAAGGATCAATGTGGTCTATTTATCTTAGTAGACCACGTTCATGCCTTGCTCTAGCAGATAGTGTGTTCCTGCGGGTGCAATTGTACATTTGGTTCCCCTCCAAGAGACCCTACTACTAATATTCTCATCATCTGAAATTTGTGTAAGAATCATTACAGTGATTATATTTACCTAGATTTAACTATTTGAATATTGAATGTCATGCACCCTAGGGAGTGATTTTTTCTAGGGAAATTTATCTAAATATATACGAGATGCCCGTCAAAATACATATAATGAGTAATTGCAATAGTTACAAATGCGAAAAATGTTAAGTAATACATCTCTCATGCATATTTTCTTAAATTTCCCTTTTTCGTTGCCACTTCAGAGCGGATATTCGACTGAAGTATTTGATGGGTGGCTAGGTTACTCAGACCAGAGTCGAAAAACTTGGGTCCTAAAAACACTTCCCACTCCGAGTTTTTTCCGAGGGAGCTACTATACATTTTGCTCCTGCCGGAGCACATGAAATCTTCTATCTCTACATATATATAGAGAAAGTATATATATATAGCGAGAGAGAGAGAGTGAGAGAGAGAATATATATATATAGAGAGAGAGAGAGTGAGAGAGAGAGATGTTATTATTCCTAGGGACTCAAACCCTAAAATTAGAGGAAATGTGGTTGCAATGTGGCCTCGAGAAAGTGAATGTGAGATAGAATATTATTAGAGGAGCTTCTCAAGGCTTTCCCTCACATGTATGTTTGTAAAAGATATTATGTAGATATAATTTTTTAAATTATTATTTGTGTGAGGGCCAAGGCGGCACCTTGGGATCCGTAGCACGTGCATGTTCACCCGTGTGACCAATAACACCACTCTTCCAATCCAATGCCTCGTACTTTTTGTGTTGCAAAACACACACAAAACATTGTTTGAATTGGGGATCCAATGCTCCTTTTTTCTTGCCCTTCTCTCACTACAATACACTTGGGATTTTTATTTTATTTTTTCACTTTCTCTCACTACAAGTGTCTTTCTTTCTCTAGCTGCAATAATCGTGCTTAGAGTTGAAGGATTTCTCTCACTTCACTGAAATAGTTGAAGCATTCCATTTTTCACTACAATATTTGTGGAATTTTTTTGTGAAGTAGAAGAAAGACCCATGATTTTATGCTGGACCAATGGGAGTGCGCCACTTGACCACGCGTAACAATTGCTTGCGAGTTGATGAAAGCACAACAACAAAGCCAACGTGTTAGATGTCATGCTCTCTCTCTCTCTCTCTAAAAACACAAGAACCAAGGGCCTGCATGTTTAGCTCTCTCTCTCTTTCTCTTTTTTTCTTTTTCTTTTTTTTTTTTTGGTACAAGAATCACATGTACTTCTACTAAATCAAATCACCAATTATAAAACCACACTAAAAATGACTCCAATTATAAGAATACAATAAAAAATAGACTCTCTCTCTCTCTCTCTACGTGCTTAGAGATCATTCTCTCTCTCTATGCTAGTGTGATTAATCCCCTGAAAGAATGGCGAAAACATTGAAATTGGGTAAGGCCAGAGAAGATGTCGCCTTGAATCGTGTTTCCTCTCTCTCTCTCAAGTTAAAAAGAGGTCGTTTGCCAATATTCCGGCCATGGTATTATGCATTTTTCTGAAGAACCTCGCGCTGGGTGTCGGGTCCACCTGGACGCGTCTAAGTATGGGTCCATTCGATGGACCCAGCACATTGGGTCAAGGTCCAAATGACTTGGACCTACCCAGTGTCGGGCCCGCTTGAATCCTATAAGGTGGGGTTGGGTTAAGTCCGGGACGAGTCAACCTTTCCTGACCTACCCACAGAACGCTCTACTGAAGAGAGCTTTGCCATGTGAAAGCTCCATCACATAACATAGGAAAGCGCTTCCATAAGAAAATAGGCATGACAGCCCTCTTCCATGGTTTTCCATGATGGAGCGCTGGTGGAATGTCCATGCTTTCAAATGTGGGAAGCATTGGATCAGCACAAATCTCCTTTGCAGGAACTTCCCCATGAACAAACATCCCCAGATCTTGAATCACTCGCTCGCTCTCAAACTTCCCTACAAAACAAACATCCTTGTACCTTGTATCACTCTCTCTCTAAAACAAACATTCTTGTCTTGAATCTCTCTCTCTCTCCCACACACACAATCATGCACATGTATATTTTTCACTCAAGTGATCCCTCTCCACCTGAGGCACACAAGCAAACATCTCCACCTAAGGAACCCACTAAGGGTCTCTCTCTCTCTCTCTCTCATACATGTAAGACTATACATCTCCACTTAAGGTACCCACTTAAGCGTCTCTCCCTCCCACTTAAGGCATCCACTTAAGTCACTCTCTCACTCTCTCTCTCTCTCTCTCTCTCTATGTGAGTGCAAACAGTAATATTCAATCCACCTAGTCTTGTCAAAACACTAAACATCAATGCCTAACAGTAATGTTTTGCATAAAGATATGAAGCGACAGTTCAGAGTTTCAAGAAGCAATTAGAACAAGCCAAGAAAGAAACAAAAGGGAAAAAGAGAAATGAGAGAAATTTCCCATCCCTCTCAAAATCTCTAAACTTGTGGTTTAAATCCTCCGATAACAAAAAGCAACCTCACTGAAGAAACCATACAACTAGGGTTTGAGGGCCATACAATGTCGAGTCTCCAGCTGCCTGTCCAATCCTTGATAATGCTTCACATCAGAATCTTGTATGGTGGGCACCCCCACCACTTATCCCCCAATGCAAGTAGGATGGTTTGGCTTGTTTTAAGGTTTGCATGTAAAGATGACCATGCAACTGCTGATAATAACATTTTTAGAGAGACGAAGAGAGCCCTCAAATCAAAAGATGCTTATGAGTCATCTTATCATAGGCCAACAAACATGCTATCATAAGTGGATGACCGATCTATTAGTCTCACTCATCAAAAGTCCATTATATAGAGAGAGAGTGAGCACTCATCAAATCAAAAGATGGGTATGAGTCATCTTATCATAGGTCCAAGATGCTATTGGTCATCTTATCAGTGGATGACCGACCTATTAGTGTCACACATCAAAAGGGTTAGAGAGAGAGAGCCCACTAAGAGAGAGAGAGAGTTCATTAAGAGAGAGAGAGACAATTAAGAGAGAGCGGGGGGGTCCCTATTAAAGAGAGTCACCTTATGAAGATGGCCTAACACAACATTAGAGTCATCTTATCGGAGGACAAAAGCTTCACATGAGAGAGAGTGCCCTCCATCAAAAAAGACCATGAAATATCTAGAGAGAGAGAGAGTCCTATTCCATCAAAGGACCAACACCCTGTTCAAGGTGACCTTTGACCTCATCATCCACACGCCCTCCCTCTCTTTCTCTCTCCTCAGTGCCTGTCCTTTTCCCATCATAGTTGGTTCGCATGTATCAGATATCATGCTTTACCAGTACAGTTTATTACTTCAAGAAACCAAAAAGAATTATGATTCTTTTTATATTATGAATAAAATCCATGATTCCATATATGACACAAAGCTCAGATCAGAGGGCATCGCTGCCACCCCTGCTAGTCATCAAACAGTAGAAACACATTTACAGAGCATCAAATCCATCACCCCCTTTTACCCCTCTTTTTACCTGGGATTTCTAGAGAGAGATGGATGAAGATGGTCTGATGCTTCAAAGCCTTTGGGCCTCCTTCAAAAATCTTATTTGCAAGGCAGAATTTAACTCTGAACAAACTCGGTGGATCATCTGTGATTTTGGTGAGATTGATGCTGATATGATGAGTGAGAGTTCGATTGTGGAGAGGGTTCGGGGCTTTCAGAAACCTCTAATTGTGTGGGCAGTAAGTTGAGGAAGCTTCCTTGTGCAGGCTGGTTAGTGGCGGCCGTGGGGTCTACACCAACCAAAACAAAATAATGAGGTTTTGAAATGCTTTCTTTGCTTCTCATTGTACTCACGAGAGAGAGAGAGAGATCATACCAAACAAAGATTTGATTGAGGGCCTCTTTTGTTTACTCTTTTTTTTCAATTCAGCTGGAGAAATGAAAGAGAAATGCTCACTTGAGAAGCATATAAACATGTGCGTGTATGCTATCCGTGAGTAAGCCTGTGTGTGTGTGGGTGTGTGTGAAGAGAGAGAGAGAGAGGAGAGAGAAGGAGGGGAGGGGCAGGAAGGGGGAGTGAGAGAGAGCACATGTGCATGTGTGTGTGAGAGAGAGATGTAAGCGCGGGCGGCCACACATGTGTATGAGAGAGAGAGAGAGAGAGACCAATGCCGGGTAAGTGGTTGTCGTTGACAATCTCGAAGTTCTTGTAAGTGTAACCCACAAAATTCACATCTTTCGAAGAAAGCATCTGTTAGACCACAGAGGTTACATTAGTCACTTAAAGTAACAGCGGTATGAACAGAAGTTTGTTTTGTTAATAGAATATGGTTTTACATTCGTTACATTCCACTTCAGTTGGTAGGAACAAATCCAATGGCACACTATAAGACTGTAAACCTCAAAGAATTAAATGAAATAAATCACCACGAGAAAAGAAACACAAGGGATGACAATGGAATAGAGAACTTCAAGAACTTGTAACTAAAGAAAATGCAGGGAATGGACATTGATATCCCGTTTGGGCGGAAAGAAATTGCTCAGATGCTTACCCAACATGTGGTTTGTCATGAAATATCCAGTTACAGGAGTCTTTGGTAATGACTACTGAGTTACACACATCTAAGTGAACTTACATGAAAGTGATTAGAGGAATTGTTCACCATGTCCAAAGAAACAAAATAATGGACCAAACAAGCTCACCAACCCCTCTTTTTTTGCCCAGCCAAAGCAAATATACCAAGTTGTTTGATGTATTAGGTTTGTTCTCAAAACAATCTATGCATCGTGAGTGTAGGAGCAAGAAGCAGGACTTTCCAGTTATGAAGTGAGAAACAAACACTTCAACCCAATCCCAACGCACAAATACATCCTGGAATTAGATCCTTGAAATGTTTTCAGATTAGATTAAAATGGTACCTCGAAACCCATGATTTTGGGGGACATCCAAGATTCATTCAAAACATTATTTGTCATATAGTAATATACCTGTGAAAGTCAACTTTTTGGCAGAGGATAAATAGGTCCAGGGTGGATATGTGGAATCATTTAGCCCCCTCATAAGAGTTTTCATACCTATATGGCACTGCAAACAAAAGCTTTCTTCCTTCTTAACGACTGATAAAAGAAATCTGCATCATAGAATTCATCTATTTCCCAAAACGTGATCACTAAAACCCCTTCTAAGGTTATTTTGGATAATTTCCTTAATGGACTTCATCCCTGAGTCATATTTTTAACATGTATGCATCTTTGTGGGAATGATCTAGTCAGGAAATCAAGATGGACTCAAGTGCTTTCAGTGGAGACATTAACGACAAAGTTCCACTTCCTTTTTAACAAGCGCAATATTCCAATAGCAAGTGTCCAGAAAAAGGGAGGGAAAAGATAGAAGCACAATACACTTTCAAGGATTCACAAAGTATTTCCAAGCAACACAAGAGGGCCTACTTAATGTATGCATGCATCGATGTGCTTGCCGCAAAGGAGTAACCACATGCACGCCTCCAAGCTTCTCGACTCTTTAAGGGCAGACCACTTGCTCATCCACAAATGAGGACCATCACAATACCACATCTGTAAGTCAAATCCTACATATGCATTCCATATCCAAAATGTTTGTATGGTTTTGTGTGAAGTTATTTCCAATAGGGGAAAATAAACGAACTTGTGTAGGTATCACTTGTGATGCTTTATTAAGACTATGGACAATAAGTCCTGACATCAATTTCTTTCCCCACCTAGGACCCCAAGTTCCTACCCAGTGAATGCTTCTAACCCCATGTGCAAGACAACAAAATTGCGCAAAAACACATTGTCGAAAACCCTCTTCTCCCACTTATATCACCACCAAAGTATGTCAGTTCTATCTAGAATACCTTATATTAATGTGCATATCGACCACCTAAAGCGTCGTCAAAATAAGAAACTTGTACCTGGGGCCAGAAGCATTCACTGGGTAGGAACCTGAGGTCCTAGGTGGGGAAAGAAATTAATGTCAGACTTATTGTCCATAGTCTTAATAAAGCATCACAAGTCATACCTACACAAGTTCTTTTTTTTTCCCCTATTGGAAATAACTTCACACAAAACCATACAAACATTTTGGAACATTTATTAATCTTTCCAAAGCCACCAATGGTCCGAAAAGAAACAAAGATCAAGAGTGGGGAAAAGAGCAAGGCAACCCCTAACTCTGGGCAATCCCATTGGAATGTTCCAATTTCAATTTGCAGCACTCAATACAACTGGTAGGGAGGAAAGATATTGGTCACCTACCGGTTGCTTTGAATCAAGCAGTAGGAAAACCCAAGGAAGGCATTTGATATTTCATATTAGTGAGGTTAAGAGTGTATGTCCATGCAGGAGGACTGCACTCCCATCAGTCCTCACCTTGGGAGAGAACATTGGGGCTTTCCTATTCCCTGATCATCTCGTTCTTAAGCTAAGGCACCACTACTTCCCTGAGCATCTCATGAGCTAGGGGTTTCAACCGTGTCATCCTCCCTTTAGGAACTTCGACTTGGTCTGCATCTGTGCATTAAATCACTCCGACTTGGGCCCCATCTGTCCATGCAGGGAGAGAGGGCAGCAGGTGGATAAATGGGCCCACAAGTTTCTTTCCTGAGCTTGATTCCTTGGTATCCAAAGGAAATTAAGGTAGTTGAGTGCACAAGTGACAAGGTAGAAATTGTAAGTTTGGGAGGTCAGCTAAAGCTCACAGACGTGGAAGGTGAGGAGAATTATATAGAACTGGCGAGGGAATTTTAAGATGTCCATACGCAAAGGACGATGCCTTAAATTTCTTACTTATATATTTATCTTTCTTGTTCATTTAGAGCCCTTTTAGGTATTTCTTAAGGTGTGAGGGAAGTTCTGTCTGTATCAAAGTGCAAGAGAAGTAGATTATTTTATACATCCTGCTCCTGCTGCATTCAAGTATGTTAATTAAAAAAAACAGCAAAGTTGGCAGCATGTGCCAATCTCTAGCTCTTCTGAATGCTAAAAGTAATCGTATGGAAGTACCAGTTTGGAGATAGTAAGCAAAATGCTTTGCCAGTCTGGGGCACAAGCACATGGAACTCCATGAATATCTCCAAAATTAAACTAACTAGTAATTTGGCCATGCCATCCTGACTCTGCTAAGAGTTTGCAGCCAGTTTTATCAGTTCCAGAGTCACTTCTTCTGGCTCACACCTTCAAACTCCCGCTCGAAGGAAAATCAAGGGCAACATAAACTAGAGGGACTTGGTTAAGAAGTCTGTGCTATGTAAATATATCCATATCTTTAAAAATTCAATTTGATTTAAAACTTTATCACAAAGAAATTTAAAAAGTTAGATTTAAGGATAAAAGGCATTTATCGAAATATACAAAACACATAAGAGATCAACTATTTAACATCATACCATAACTTAATGAAATTTATAGATAAATCCTGTCTTACTTTTTATATATTTAAACCTAGTCCCATGTATTTCATATTTTACAATCGAGACCCCTTTTTTGAGAACATAAAGTGTGTTTTGATTTTATCTTTTTTTATACATCATATTAAGCTCAAATTTAGTATGCACATACTTCTCAAAATCATACAACAATAAAAAGCATTAATAAAATAATTTAAAATATGTTCCCTAAAAAGTAGATATGATTGTAACAATTTCCCAGAAAAAGTACATATGATTGTATGCATACTTCTCAAAATCATACAACAATAAAAAGCATTAATAAAATAATTTAAAATATGTTCCCTAAAAAGTAGATATGATTGTAACAATTTCCCAGAAAAAGTACATATGATTGTAAAATATGAAATATACGGAACTATTTTTAAATATCAAAGATAAAATAGGACTTACCTATAAATTTCCCTTAGAATTAATTTCAAAATACTCACAAAGATACACATGAGTATAAGTTGGAGTAATTGAAAAAGGATAAACTGTTAAATTGTTGAAAAATTAGGTGTATTTTGATAAATTTCCCTTAATAAACTCACGTTACCATTAAAAATTTCCAACTATATATTTTACTATAAATATACTTTCACTATAAACATAACATGAAATTGAATAAAAATTAATCTCATATATACTTTAATATTTTATTCATATTATTAAACTTTTATATCATTCAATATATATATATATATATATATATATATGTTTATTTTAAGGTTATCATTTCATATGCAACTCACTACACCGGTATCCTACGGTATCAGCATCGGCACAAAAAGCATACATAATAAAGGTATCACATGTCAAAATCCATTTTGTGAATCTCAACAAGTAAAATACATCCAAGAGATAATATATCCAAGAGTTAAAAGATAGCATCAACAAATTTTAAATTTTTTGGATATTGTTCCTAATAAAGAAAAACAATTTGAGGAAATTCAATGTAAGGGACAGAAAAGTCTAATAAGATTATACGAAGAGAGGATTGTAACTATGAGAATGTTCTGTTCCTTGTTATTAAAATTATCAAATCATAGCTACCTCATTTTTCTGAAGAAAATTGAGGAAAAAGGCAAGATATGGGGTGCCACATACTAAACCTTAATAGAACAAAAGGGCATGATGTATCAACAAAAAGAGCGCAAGAATCAAAGAGATTCCTGCATGAATATGGTAGCCTCTCAAGAGCAGTTCCATTGAATATATTTTAAATACACCATAAATATTCCCTTCCTTCACGTTTATCAGAAATGAAATGCATGACCATCAAATATTGGAAGAACCCATTTCACATACTTCTAAGAGAAAGGTTCTTGGTGAAAATATGGAACAAGATGGTGAGATGCTCAGAGGCTGGGATTATAGAAACAACACAAATGCAACAAAATAGGCTTCAAAATTAGAATGAAGCATTGAAAGTACCTTTCTCCATGGGCCTGATTTTGATGAAGTTTGCATTTGTGGCCCTGACTGCATTCAAATAAAAGCAAAAGATTGGCAATCACATGAATCCTATTTTCTTTGGAAGAAAAAACTTCCACCAGATTAATCCTTGTTATAAATAAGGACAACTATTTGGTGAGTCGGCCGGCCCCAAATAGTTGGAAAAAGGCTCTGATGATGATGATTTGGCGAGTCGGCCGACTCACCTATTGATGTGTGGTCAAAATCCGTCTTAAAGACGGATTTTGGATCCAAAATTATAGGGTTCGCCTATCTCAACCATGATGATAATCATGAATCTGGAAGTTTTTTCTTTTGAAAAATAAAAAAATCTCTTTCCACCACTCATTTTTAACTTGTAGTGGAGACACCACTTTTTGACGTTCATCTTAGATATGGACGCATGCACAACGGACCATGGAAGAATAGGTGAGTCGGCTGTCTCACCAAAACAATGTTCTATAAATAAATGCATCCTAGATTAGCAGAAAACAATTAAAGTAAAAACCAGGCAAGACCCTTCATGCATAGCCAGTTTAATGCATCACAATTGCTTCAGCGAAAACAGAGGTAACATCCAGATAGGCCTGCGCACCTAGTAATCCCAGACCAGCTAAGCCCAGGTCCAAAACACATGTAGACAGGGCCCAGGCCAGGCCTGATCCTTCCACCAGGCCAGGCCAGGACTCTGGCCTGCAGGGCCAGGCCCAACCCGAGCCTGACCATGCCAGGCCTAATCAGAAAGGTGGATGACTCCCAGGAAGGCTGCTACTATAAATTACTTACAGAAAATAGGAAGATCTATCATAAAATATATGGAGCCAAAAAAGCCATTTTTAACTCCTTCCAGGCAAAACCCAGTCTCACTGAGATAATACATTGTTTTGCAAGCAAACATCTAAAACGGGGAAGAAAACAGATGTTACATTCTTTGCTATTAATTGACCTCCAATTTTCTTATATTCAATCCTTGAATGTATTTGCCACCCAAAAAGCCATACTCATATGCATGCACATGTTTTTGTGTTTCTGTGAGGGCATGTATGTGTGAATGTATGTATCAAGTGTTAGCTAAGCAAGTTGGCTTGAACCGAGACACAAGATCTCTGCACATAGATAGGGGGTCAAAACAGCAAAAGGAAAGGCATCTCTAACCTCCTCGAATTTTTCAAAGTTTTGAGTATCCAACTCATCATTAACTTCGGGTATAAAAGCAGCTTCCATCTGATATAATTTGTCCCACTGGATTCCTTTAAACCAAGGATGTGCCTGAAGTCCAATTATAAAAAACAGAAATATCATTTAGTAAATTGTGAAGCACAGAGAATCACAAATTAAGAGTAATCAGACTCTAACAAACCTTAATTTCATGGGCTCCTTTGGTCCCAAGCCTCTGCTCGACATTGCATAAAAGTTTGCATATCAGATCTTTAGCTTCAACTGATAACTTTGCTTCTTCAGGAAATTTCAAGTGAGTTCGCCAGTTCACAATCTAATAATGAGAGAATAAGTGAGAGGTATTAATGTAAAAGATTAAGCAGCAATATATGAACTTTGCGCGCTAGCGATTATTCAGAAACTGCACATGGGCCACCAAATAAAATGGTTCTCCATATAATCATAATGGGCCATTGTTTTGATGAAATATTGTGCCATAAGTTAAAGCAAGGATTTTGTCCAGCATGACACAGAGCAGATGCACATCCAGGTATAGATATAAAATTATACTGTCATCAGCAGTTATTAGAAACAAAAACACAAAACGATTCATGAGAGAGAATTCTAATCGAGATAATGAATCAGTATTAATGTGAGGGAAAATTACCAAGAAATTACATAAAAGATTATGCCTAGGAATTTCCTTCCCTCCCATTGCCCTTATGCTGTTCTATTTCTAAATTATTCAAGATCACATTTATTTCCATTAATCCATAATTTACTCCATAATTTTACACACATTTTTCTGAACCATTGAAAGTGAAGATTATTAGTGGCAAACGCAAGCTTCAGTATACCTTTCTGCAGGTCGACATAGGCTCATCCGAATAAAATGGAGGAAAGCCCACAAGCATTTCATACATGATAGCTCCAAGTGACCACCTATGAAAAAGAAAAGAAATTAAATTAAGGTAAGAATTATATTGATTTAGGGCAATGATAAGCAATAAACCCAAGTCAGAAAAGAAAGAACAATGGAAACATCACTCACCAGTCGCACTCCATTCCATATCCCTTCTTCAGTAAAACTTCTGGAGCAATATAGTCAGGTGTACCCACTGTGGAATAAGCCTGCAGTTCTTAGCATTAGTTAAGCTCAAGTGTAAATGTAAAACCAGAACGGAGATCGATGTAAACGAAATAGTTCCAAGTTGAAGAAAATCAAAAGACACTGAGGAGACAATGAATATAATTGGCAGAATAATGCAATGCTTGAATAAATTTAGAACACACCCAGTGAAATATGGTTAAATGTATTTTGGGCTGATCTCATGGTGCTCCCTGATGGGGCCAATTTTTTATTCATATCATGGCAAGTATTTGCTCAAAATGTAGACCTTTAACATAAATTAAAGAAAGCAATACAAATCGAACAACCGAAGTTCATCCTTTTATGAGACTTTTTATTAGATTCTGGGGAATGCAGTCTACCTAGAGACACCCTGTTTATCTTACATCAATTACAATCGTAACACACAGAGGAACACATCTGTTCAATTTATTACGTCGACAAAGGAAGAAAATTAAAATCATAATAAAGAAGAACGAAATAGGTACATCACAAGCATTTTTCATCCGATACCTTGCTTCAAACAAAGTCATCCTTCCAAAAGATCAGCACTATGATCATTATATATTCTCTGTTTTTCCCTTAAAGCCCTCTCTAATGAATGAAACTCTCGCTATGTATTCCTCCATGTTCTTTTTTTTGGGTAGATCAGTGGGGAATACAAGCCCCTACCCGTTTTTAGAAATAATTAGCAGTTTTCTAATGCGTTAGTGGGAGTCGAAACCTAGACCGGTAGCTGAGGCTCAAGTGGTGCTGCCACCATGACCTCAACCCCATTCCCGTATTTCTCCATGTTCTCTCTTTTCATTGTTTGATCTCCTTCTTCTTCTTCTTCTTCTTCTTCTTCTTCTTCTTGTCGGTGTTATTCCTCACAGCTGAGTACTCTTAGCTCGTTTATAAGCATCATATGTCTCAGCCGGAGATACCAGTTATTGAGAGTATGTAGGCAGTTATGATGAGAGAGTGGGGTAAACGCCCATAGAAATCAGAAAATACTCCCAAGAAAGTGTGCAAGTGGCATCAAAGAGTGGGAGATAAATCCTGGAGATAGAGTACGATAGAGATCTCAGGACATTGGATAGATAGATGGACAGATTCCCCAAGAAGTGGGCTTTTGTGTCCAACAAGATCCGCATTTCAAGGGTTATACTTATCGTCACTTGAATATGGGCAAACAATTGCCCATTTATGCGGCTCTGGATTGTGGCTACAGTACCATGATTTCAAAGCAACTAAAGAGAGTCTCGAAGGGGATATTCTTCATCGAACCCTCAGGTTCTATCTAATCAGTCCCGACTCCTAATCCAAACTCATAAGCTCAGAAGTAGGGCCTGAACTTCTCAATACTTGGCAATGAGCCACCACATGCATGTCTACCATCACAGTTGCTGGAGAACAGTTAGTACCGTATAAGGCATAGATTGTGCAAGACATGCATCCCAAAGCAAGAATCAATTGAGACATGAACCACATGAAGCGTAAGTCGTCTGGACATGAGCCACACAAAGTATAAGCCGTGTTAAGAACGAGTCACAAAGGACATGAGCTATAGAATGCATAAGACATAAGTCACATAGAACATGAGCTATACACGGTATATGTCACCTATAACATGAAGTCATGAACCACATCATCATCATTGTCAGAGCCTTTTTCCCAACTAATTGGGGTCGGCTACACCAATCCTGGTCCGCCATTCTGCTCTATGGGCCATACCGTTAATGAGGCCATAAGTCCCCATAATAGGCATATTGTCGAAAGCCAATCTTGCACATTCATAGCTCAACCACTAGAAATCAACAGCCATAATAAATCTTGCATGTAGGCAAACATTGTTGACGTTGTACACATCGAAATGTTAGGACAAGCCTTTATACAACATATGCATGCAGAACTCCACCATTGCTGGTCCCAAGCCCGGATGAAAAAGGAGGAGGGTTGTGTTAAGTTGGCAGCCAATGAAAAACTTTTGCCACATCCCTCATGAATCCTAATCCAAGTGGAATGGTTGAATAATAGGATTCATGCAGCCAATCCCAAATAGTTGGGATTAACGCTCGGATGATGATGATGCATGTGGAGCAATCAAAGAACAATCCCATTGGCTATTCAGAATTGTCGATTATGATTGGGGCCCACTCAAATTGTGTGAGGATTGTGAAGAATGTCAAAGCATGTCCAGAATAGTCATCCCAAACATTAAGGAAAAGGTTCCATGGGCCCATTTCGTCTTTCTAATACAGAGGTCTGGGGCTCATGGCAAAGCTATACGGGCATTTTGCTGAGCATTTGGAATGCATCTTGAATGCAATGAGTCCAACTGTATTATATATATTTTCCTCATTCATCTAAACAATCATTAATAGAATAAAATGTTAATTTCCAATATTACCATGGTTGCAGATATTACCTGCCAAAAATGCTACAAATATCTCGTGGGTGTATCGAGCTTTTTGATAACCAAAGGATCATTGAAAAATCCCCAGACATGGACAATTAGTTTTGACTCATTGTACAATAGTAAACACCAAGCGTACATGACTAAACATGTTTTGTTTCTAATAATGTTAACCTTACATGACTAAACATGTTAACAAGGACCTCTCTCTCATTCATGACTATTTGAAGACCATCAAGCACTTGGTATAGCCTTTCAGCTCCCAACACATTGATCATTTCACCAGACAGCATGTTGAACACTTGATGCCCATGGTTGTCTTCTAGGTTCATCAAGTTTCCATTGAACCACCGAGGTTCTCATGGCATTGCCATGTGCATGCACTAACAGTTATGCCTAGATGACCAAAATTCATCGCACATGACTTCATTATCAGGCCAGGGTGACCGGTTCCGACCGCACAAAGCTCCTGATCAACTATCTTCCAAGTCCCGCTTGTGCAAGATTTCATGCAGAGCTGCTCTTGTCAACTTCCACCACGTAAGCCATATTGTGAGCATAGCAACTGGATCCCAAGAGATCAATTGAACACCAAGGGCTTCAGAACCATCAAACGTTTGGCGTCCATGCTAGAGGATCGTATAGGACTTTTACTAGGCCAACTTGCCATATGTCTTTATGCAATCTGAGTCCACATCCAGACCCAAGCTTATAATTGCACTTGTGTGCCTAGCTTATCCTAAGAAGACACTTGTCATCCCATTAAACACCTAAGTGTGATACAAAAACCACTCAAACAGCGAGATGTTCATAAGCATATTTTGAAATATAGTTACCCGAATCGCCTATGAGGGTAAACGGAATCTCGATTTGGCATTTCCCCAAGCGAAAGTCGATTCTAAAAGAAAGGAATCATGTTTTCATTTTTTGCAGAACCCGATTCCACCCAGTTTAGGAATCTCGATTCTTGGATTGCCGGAATCAAGATTCCATATCGAGGACTTTCTGATTCTTAGCTACACAAGAATGTGATTCTGCTTGTGACAAATGTTGATTCCAATTTTTTTGGAATTGTGAATCCATGTTGTTTGGAATCAAGTTCCTATATCGCAGACATCGTGATTGCTTGCTACACAACAATGCGATTCTACTTATGCTAAATGTTGATTCAAAGTATTAAAGAATTGCGAGTCCATGTTGTCAGGAAGCAATGTGAGCATAGGGAGAGCAGAAACCCTTCGATGTTCAATCATGAGTGAGTACGACATGTATGACAGCGTGAGAGAATTTGAAGTTGTTGCACACGGCAATAAAATCAAATTTTAAAATATAAGTAACATATTAAATTTTTATTTTCTTATTTACTAATTTCCATCCTTCATTTCATGTTACTTTTTAAGAATTCTTACCAAGAATAAATAATACTAAAAAAATATGTTCCTTCAAATTTAATAATGTTTGGTAACTGGTGTGGGCACTAAACTACTAATGTAATAATGTTTAATATATGATGGGCACCGTCATTTCTTCAAGTTGAATAAGAGGATAAAAATGTTTTTCTTTAAGTAAAATAAGAAGATAATAAGGATATGAACGACGTGCCATGTGTGATGTTTTAGGTTAAATTAATCATTAAATATCAAAAAAATTGACTAAAAATTGAATAACTCAATTTTCAAAAGTCAAAAGACTCAAAACTACATTTAACAAAGAAGAATTACTATGTCATGTACTTATTTTATAATTCAAGGAAAGGAGATAAAGGAAGCTTGCCCTTGTTCTCCAGACCTTGGAGGTATATTAGGGGTATCGATAGACCGAGTCCATTGTATGGGATTGTCCACAAAGATATCATAAAGGTTGACATTAGTATTTGGAGTCTTGGAATGAGTATATACAGATCAAAATTCGATCTCGTAGTAATGGGTAAATTTATATATTTTCTGAATACTTCTCTCATACACCGGAGGGAATTGGTTCGCAATTCTAGTAAGGGGTTCCAATATGGGAAGAATCACGATTCCGGAATAGTGAGAATGTTGATTCCAAATTGATGGGGACAACGATTCTAGAATTTTAGGAATCAAGATACCTTATTTTTAGGAATCATGATTCCATAATTTTAGGAATCATGATTCCAGCAACCACCAAAAGAAGTAGGGTCATGTGTGATTCTATATAAGTATGAAACGTGATTCCAACATGAAGGGACATCAATTCTTGCAAATAGGAAACACGATTCCTAATTTTTTGAATCGCGATTCCGAAATAGTGAGAATCATTTTTCTCAAATCCGAATCGTACAGACAATGATTCCTAGATTCCGAAACTTTTGATACACGCGATTTCGCAATTCCGATTCCAAAAACGATTTGGAATCACAGAAGTTTCCAACAACTATATTTTGAAATACAATTAGATAGCGATTCTGTTGAATTCGAATTGATAGTGTAATGTGAGACTACTGCAAGTTCAAAAATACATTAAGTACCAACACAAACTAAGAATTACTGAGACCCACTGAATATTTCACAATGGAGATATAAAGTTCTTCGTCATTTATGGCCAACATCTGAGAAATGCTCAGAAAGATTAAAACATGAGAAGCAGGCAGAGAAAAGGCCTATTAATTGTTATCCTATAAACAGGAGGCTTTGATGAGTTTTAAAAGAAATTATCATTTCCAATCCCCTCCATTAAAAACTTTAGCTAACAAAATCTTTACCATGGATATCGAGATAAAGTCATAGAAATCTTCAACTGTTAGACAGGAAAGAATGCAGAGGCATCCAGGGGTGAAAGCAAAGAAATGGCATTTAGGGCACTTGAAATCCTGGTTTCATTGATTCACTATGATATATATGCAGTCAATTGTTGTAAAGGGTGGAGGTTGAAGAATTGCAGGATAAAACTTTGAGGTTACCTCATATATCATCATATTAGTCACCATCACACCTTTGCACATACATCTCTGCAGTTGGGATCCAGCTTTGTGCAATTTAGTGTAAACCTTGCGTTCAAATTATACTTAAAAAGACTATAGAGTTTCACAAAATCAATCAACTGTCAACACAAAAAAAAGTTTAACAATTTCCACGCGTGGCTAAGGTGATCATTCTTTCTGAAAACAAATTATAAAAAAATGAGACCTCACACTAAGGACTGCTCAAAAAACAAGTTCATGGGAGAAGCTTACAAACATTATTATTTTCGGTAAATGACCACATTTTCTACAAACACTATTTTTTTTCGTAGAGTGAATGACCACCAGCCGGACACCCTCCCCCCAAGTAAATTCTTTTGCGCCAGAGACCCTGGACTGCCCTTTCGTATGATTGATGATCCAATGGAAAATTCCAATGAAAATGATGGGTTTTTTTTTCAAAAAAGGGATTCTCTATTCAATCCCCAAGAAGTGATTGACTTGCCAAAAAGCTTCACCCACATTCATCAAAAAAATTGATGTGCAGCCTCTTCGCTGCCAAACTGGCTAGAAAACTTGACCAGAGTACCTGAGAAAAGCTTTTAGTGATTCCTTCAATGACCCAATTTAAACCCAACAAGAATCAATTTGCTCTTCCTCAATCTATGATGCAGCCTAGAATACTGCCCTCGAGTATCTAGATAAGAGAGACAAGCTTGAAATTTACAAGAGGAACCACATGTGGGGAAATTAGTCACGGAGTCGATCATTTTATGTCTTTTATTTATTACTCGAATCGTTTTACTGATTTAGAGGTACAAGTAGTAATTTTTAGAGTCTTTTATGTCTTTTTATTCATTTAAAGTATTTTATAATAAATGGTCATGATTAGATCAAATGGATGACCAAGATTAAATCATGTCTAGGATTTTCTTATATAAGAAATGAACTCAAGCATAATGGGTCATCTTGTTATGGATTTTATTCAAAAACCCCTAGAGCAGCAAGTGTTTCTTCTTTTTTCTCTGGTTTTTTAATACTTCTCTAATTTTGGATCTTCCCTATCTTCTTCTTTCCTAAACCGTAGCTCCAAGCTACTAGGTCTGCCACAAGTTAGTATCAGAGACTGATGATCAGTACGGACGGTACTGTAGCATGTTATTGTAGCGCAGTACTGTAGCATTGATTTTTCTGCCCTAAATCAACAACCAGGCCTCCATGCAAAGGCAAAGGAGGAAAAGCAACAATCCTAAAAGCATGTGATGCTAGTTCGTGAGAAGGGATTGCAAATCTGAGGAGATTGGTCGAAACCATAGGTCAACGTTTGGTGCAAATGGAAGCCCCGTCTCAAGAGTATGAGATCGAGGCAAATGAGGAATCCATAAATTCGTCCATGATCAAGCTCCAAGGAGACAAGGTAGCTGATCACATGAATAGGGATAGTAGGTGGGAAACCGGTCTCAAGGTTGAGATCCCAAAGTTTATGATGAGGACAACAAGTATTAAGGTGATCCCATCTATGATGAGCCGGTTGACGAAGATGACCCGAAAGTGATCTATAGCGATTTTGGGTACTAACTACCAATCTTTGATGTGTACCCTGATGAGGATTCGAGTTTGGTAGAAGAATCAATTTGTGATGAAGTTGGTAAACCTAGTCTTGATGAAAAGAAAGAAGAAAGTCCCATTTTCAATGAAAAACATGCTATTGGCCGCGAAGATAATGGTGGTGATGGTGTTTATGATAGTGAAGATGGCGGTGATTACACCTGGCTATTACCTATTACTTTGTTTTAAGTGGAGAGCCCCAACAACAACTCACCAAGTTTTAACAAAAAGAGGTTGTAGCTACAACGCATTCATCTTAACCCATTTTAAAGTTTGTTAGCGAGTTATCTCAGGTATGTTCATGTACAATAATCCTGTGTATATGTGCTACGAATGCTACAATTTTTCATGTAGACAAAACATGAAAGTGATGGATAAAGTTTCTATGAAAGATGCAGTAAAACATTTCTCTCTTGTTTTCTTGAATTGGGTCCCATCAAAATTGGGGGAAAGTACATATTCCTTGTTGATGTTAGATATGGGAATCTAGTACCATTGTTGCTGGCAGTTATATATTGCCCATTTTGTTGGCATGCAAATCAGTATGCTTATAGCATTCCTGTCATACCTGGCCTTATACATCAAGGATTACAACCAATGGAAATCTATGGACAAGATGGCTTATCTCTTGAATGATATGGTGTACTAGAATGGGCTTACCCCTATTTGGACAAAGAAGCATGCTCTTGATAGAGGCGAAGCAATAAATTGAATACCATGGCAGAATGAAGCTTCTTATTGGGAAACTCATTTTCCCTTACTAATTTCTCATGTTAAATTTGCCAGGATTGTTCTGAAGGAGCTTCATGATCAGTCAGTGCCGAATATTGTGTATTGAGAGGTTGCAATGTGTTCGATGTTTTATTTGGTGCAAACAAGGTGATTGTGTTTTCTGTTGAAGACAATTCATTGGAACTATGCTTTCACAAACTTAGGGAGTATGATGCCAAATATAAGGCCATCGCTGGCAAGCATCGCCAGCATAAGATTTTTGATGTTGGAGATTTTGTGCGGGCAATCTAGACAAAGGATAGATTTCCAACAAGGGAATATCATAAGTTGAGCCAAGACTGGACCGTGTGAAGTGATGCAAAAGATTAATGACAATGCCTACAAATTGAAGCTCTCCACCCATATTCGCACTTCAGATGTTTTTAATGTCCAGCATCTCATTCCATATCGTGGATCAACCTCTAAAGGCGAGCCGCCGAATTCGAAGGCGAATTCTTTTGACGAAGGGGGGGCTGATGCAGCCCAGAATATTGTGAATCATTAATCTTTTTTATTTTTTTAATATATGAATTTGGGGTCTACACAAACTTCAAATCAAATGGATGGGATGTAGTCACATAAAAATTTCTGATCAAGGAGAATCAAGAACAAGGTAAAAAAACTCAACAAAAAACTTCATAGTCAACCTAAAAACTTCAGCAACATACATAAAATATACTTTCAAAGTTCTCCACACAACAAGAAAATACAAACATGATCATTAGGCCAAGCTTCTAAGACAAAGAACAACTGGCAACAATCCTTCAATTGTTTAAGCAAGCATCCAACGTAAAAAAATAGTATAGCCTCCAATTCTATTAATGGTTTTTATTTTGTTTAGAAAAAAGAGTAAAGCAGTGATGCAACTGCCTTTGATCGATGAGTGAGTGAACCATGAAACTCAGAATAGGATGACATCATACCATCCTCAAATGAATTGTGTGTTAGTCTCACCACTTTGTACATCAATTTTTCTTCTGATCAATAACAGAATTCATTAATATCATAATTGATGTACAAGTAAGAAAGATTGGCTGTATATTGTCTTCAATATCACTAAACTCTCTTAAGCATGTCATATTCAAAAAATATCCAACAAAGAAGTATATTATATTCAAAATTTATTACCTAAAGTCATCAGGATGTTGCAACCTTTGTAGTTAAGTCCAGAAGTTTTGTTAGTTCCATGAAGGAAATCATACAAGGGAAGATAGAGAGCTCACCAGCATACGCCTGTTCTTTTGCCAATGCTGTAATTGCTCCTGCTGTGTGCGCCTGGGCAGTGGGGACATGTTTGAGCGCCCATCACTCTCTCCTGAGGCTTTTAAATTTCTTCCACTTGCATAGTCACTCTCACTAAGATTCGGGAAATTACGGCAATCCAAGGGCTTACAGAGCCCAAAATCTGAAAGCTTCATATGCCCATATTTATCAAGCAACAAATTGTCCGGCTTGATGTCCCTGTTAAAAACAAAACAAAACAAAATAAATCATTGTTCTCAAGGTATCAGCAAAAGATAATTGGTACATATGCTTCATTAATAGGCAATTAGCAAGTATGAAACAAACCTATGGATGTAATTGTGCTTGTGGATAGATTCGATAGCCAGGACAGTCTGCGCGACATAGAATCTAGCCTCATCTTCTGTCAAGGTATCCTTTCGCATGAGTAAGGTCATCATATCTCCTCCAGGAAGGTATTCCATGATGAGATACAAAAACTCCTCATCTTGGAAAGAACAATAAAGCTTGACAATGCAATTACTGTCAACCTCAGCAAGGAGATTTCTTTCTGCTTTAACATGCTCCACCTGTGAATATTTAACAAGAGGTTAAGTATTTCATAAGTGAACACCAAAGATATCCTCAAACGATAGATATTAGGTGTACCTGGCCTCTACGGAGCATTTCTGACTTTTTCAACTTTTTCATTGCATATACATGACCTGTGGTCTTTTCCCTGCAAAGTCTTACCTGCACAGTTATAGGCAAATTATGAAATTAGAATGGTACCAAAAAGTTGAAAGCAGTGTAATTAATAACAAACAATTTATGAACTAGCATATAAAGGGCACACCAGACAAATATCGTAACATGCATAAATGTAGGGCGCATATTTCTTTTTTTATTTGGAAAAGTTCAGGGCCGATTTTTCAATTACATTAATCCATGAATGAACCCTTCAAGAAGTTAATCAATATATCTATATATATATATATATATATATATATATATATATATATATACAACAAGTAGAAGTAAGT